TAAATGACTAAAAGTAAATATAACATTTTTTAAGTGTTTTAAAGCTAAAAGGCTAAACTATTCTATGTTTGACTCAAATTGAAAGAATAAAGATTTTCATTTCTATTGTCTATGCATCAAGGTTTATAGGGATTTTAAGATGTAATTAACGATTAAAGTAATTAAGTTACTTATTTAAGTTACTTATTACTTATTTACAACAAGATCTAAAAGCTGCTGAATTTGCTATTTTTTTTTCTCCAAAAGTTTTAGTGCACATATACACTATATGGCTCCGTGGACGGCGCCGTCTTGATTTTTGCACAACTGTTATATTGGTATAGAATGAGATGTAAAGAACTGTGAACTGTCAAAAGTGATAAGGTATAGCTAAGAGTGGTCCAAACGCAGCCCAGATCTCACAAATCAGATAGAAAACAATTAGAAACCACACCGAACACCTTAAAAATCAAACAGCCACGCGCTAAATTCCACACAGAACAGTTTGTTTTCAAAAATAATAAATAAATACATACAAGTAAAAAATAAAGTAAAATAAAATAAGTAAAACATAACATTTAATGCATTTAAGCTAAAAACGAGAACAAATATCTGCCAGCGGACTAAATTCAAAGGGAAAACTAGTCCGTTTGTTTTCTTTTATGTTTTTTTTTTTACTGTTTTAAAACATGTTTAAATAAATTTTCTATCATGTTTTATTCTTTGCTTTTATTGTTATTTCTTATGCATCTGTTTGTATTAATGTTATGATTATTCTAAATCCTTTTTATGTAAAGCACTTTGAATTACCACAGTGTGTGAAATAATGCACCACAATTATATATGCTTGCTTGCTTATTTGAAACTTCAATTAATTGCATTTTTTTTCAAAGAAAACAAGAAATCTTATGTTATTTTGCATCTAAAATAAAAGTAGCTTAATCTAAGAATGTTTAGATATTTTTACTGGAAAACAAGACAAAAATACTGAGTATAAAAATACTTTTTTGCAGCACTAGTTTAAGATGTTGCAGTCCTATTTATATTTCATGAACACATCAAACCGTTAATATGAAATGTAATGCTTCTATAAATTATCCCAAACTGAACACGAATGCATTTACAGTGAAATTTTGTTTTTGAATTTTCTGTAGTTTTGTCATGTATGTGATGCAATGCATCTTAGGATAATAAAAAGGAGAAGGAGGAATGTACATGTCTAAAGCACAAACACATATGCAGTACAATCCTCCATACATGACAAACACAGACCCTGAAACAGAAGAGCAGAAAGCCAGCAGAACTCGAACCCAAGCAGAGACAGAGACAGAGACAGTGTGTGTACCTACAGGACATGCTGAAGAGGACGAAGCGGCTGTGGCAGACGCAGAAACACTGGCAGATCCAGTCTGTGATCATCGCTCACCTGAGCCTCATCATCATTACTGCTGCACTCTACCTGCTCACAGCGGCTCCGGTTTCTGACGCCAGTAACACACACCTGCCTGACAACAGCAGCGAACCGGCTCGCGTTTCTGTGTGTGTGTGTGTGTGTGTGTGAGTGTGTGTGTTTGTGAGTGAGTGAGTGAGTGAGTGAGTGTGTGTGTGTGTGTGTGTGTGTGTGACACGTCACTGCTTAAGTAAGAGTACGGTGAGGATTTTCTCTTCAGGACGCTGTAGTTTAACTGTAGTTATTAGTGACTGGTACCTCCGTCCTGGCTGCTGAGCAGGTTGAGGGCGAACAGCATGGCGTTGGAGAAGGTGGTGGCCTCCTCTTTACTGGCGAAGTTGAGTCCGTACACCTGCCGCGCGTCACGCCACTGGTGGAAGGTGGGCGTGGCCTGGTTATACTTCAGCCCCTTCACGATGGAGTAGTTGATGACCACCTGAGGTCAGAGGTCAGAGTGTGCTCAGGTTCTTCAGTATCACTCTGACTATAGTGAAAATCAATAGCTATGTTTCAATCCACCTATTTTTGTGAACATTTTGGGATATCGCTTAAAAAATGCCTGATGGAAAATGCCAAGATGCGCATAAATTCTAAAAACGTGCATAAAAAACGTATGCGTTTAACTAAGTAGGATAAATGTCTTATCCGGTAAGAAAACATGCGCATAAACTACGATGGAAACACTTTCACCGAATAAATTTCTTAATGCACATCAAAAAAGACATGTGACTTTGAGATGGGACAGCATAAAACTGGACCAACCAATGGAGCGATCTCATCACACAGCATCTGAAAAGCTCGAGCAAAGTCTCGTTGAAGTGCTTCGTTATAATTAACTCCCAGAACTGCGTTCCCAAACAGCAGACTCCGAAAATAAGATAACATGACCGCGTTTCATCTGCGCGCTCTGAAGCTCGTAATTTATCATATACACAAATTATTACATACAGTGCCTTCTACAACTGCAGCGAACGTAGGTTTTCTTCGTGATATTTAGCACATGTTAATCAGGAAGTGATGATTTTCTCTTCAACTCACTGGATGGAAACGGTGCTTTATTCGCAAATGTTTTATGCGATATTCCAATTTTGCGCATAAGTTTAATTCGTAACTTTGGATGGTAACATAGCTAATGAATGAGTGATATTTGTGCTGATTATGAATGTAAGGAATATGTTCGCCTCACTGTACGAGTGTTTTATATTGATAACGAGTGTTTATTATTGAGTAGGTGAAACAAGTCTTTAAAGATTGAAATCTACAGATCCAAACAGATAAAGTGCAATGTGTATTTTGGATGATTTGTTTCCACTAGTCTGAAAGAAGAGACATGATATGGTAGCAAAACAAAGCAGTGCATGAAAAAACTAACGTTTTGCATCTTGCCGCAACACTGGACTATTTGAATACTTTAAAAATACATAATATTTGTGCTTTTATGCTTATTAAAAGCAGAGATATTTTTCAAAATATCTTCTTTTGTGTTCAGATGAGAACAAAACTTGAACTGAATTGATCTGAATAATGACACTGTTGTTTTCTGTAGTTAGTTTCATAACAGATTAATTTTGCATCATTAACACCGTTATTTTCCTGTTTATTACTGTGAAGCTGCTTTGAAACAAAAATGCTATAGAAACGATTGTGACTTGACTTGCGCAGAAGTCAGTCTTGAAGTAAATGCTGGCCGGTTGCATAAACTGCTTAGACTAGTCTTCAAAAGTTAGTCATCTAAATTGTTTTCTTAAAGACTGGTCATAACTTAAAGTCTGTCACAAAAAGACAGATTGGCCCAATTTGAGTCAGAAAAGTAAGACTGATTACCTCTTGGTTAACTGCTGGTTGGTCAAACTGTTTCTTAAGGCACAGTCTTAACATAGTGGCTATGTTTATGCAACTGGCCCTGGTGATTTGTGGTGAGTGATCTGGATAGTTAGTGTTAGTGTAGAGTTAGACGAGCAGACGCACCTGCTGGTCCTGCAGTCTGACTCCCACCACGCGGAAGGTGTTGCTGCTCGTGTTGTGGTAGATGTTGATTCGACTGAAGCCCTGCTGACCTGGTTTGATCGGCACCCATTTTTTGCTGGTGTCGTCGTAGACCATGACGGAGGCGCGGGCCTGACAGATGCTCTGCTCGCTGAAACAAACCAAACACACAGCGGGTCAATCGATGCAAACACACTGCCACTCAGATCATCACCCGTCAACAACCCGCCGGATACCAGATCAACAATGTCCTGGCAACCACCCCAGGGCTCGACAAACTGGCTGTTATTTAGCCTCTCATTAAAAAACCACAACTTGACCCCAAAGATCTAGTTAATTACAGACCGATCTCGAATCTCCCTTTTCTGTCCAAGATACTAGAAAAGATAGTATCCTCACAATTATATTCCTTCTTAGATAAAAAAGGTATCTGTCAGGATTTCCAGTCAGGCAGCGGAGATCAGGACAACTAGATGAGCCCCAGATACAGATCCGCTGTAAAGACCTTGTCTCAGACGACCACCGGGACAAGACCACAGGAACCAGATGAGTCTTCTGCACAATGTGACTTTGCTGCAGCCTGGAATTGAACTGCTGGTTTGGTCTGTTCAGAGGAGAACTGGCCCCCCGACTGAGCTTGGTTTCTCCCAAGGTTTTTTCTCCATTCTGTCACCGATGGAGTTTTGGTTCCTTGCCGCTGTCGCCTCTGGCTTGCTTAGTTGGGGACACTTCATTTCCAGCGATATCGTTGACTTGATTGCAAATTATTGCAAAGATACTATTTAAACTGAACTGATGATGACATCACTGAATTCAATGATGAACTGAAAATTGAGTGTTTACTATTGTCATTTTGCATTACTGACACACTATTTTCCTAATTAATGCTGTACAGTTGCTTTGACACAATCTGCATTGTTAAAAGCGCTATATAAATAAAGGTGACTTGACTTGACTTGACATACAGATGAGAACTGAGGTTTATTTGTGAATGCATCTTGCATCTTTATGCATGCACAGTTTATGCATGTGTAACATGTTTTAGACTCCAGTGTTGTCACAAGATTTCATTATAATGCATGTTTAATTCAGCGAGTGCCATATTTTGGATTTTTAATCCAGCTGCATGAAAAATATGCTAAGAAGCGTCTAGCAGTCATGTAGATCACGCTGCAGTGAAACTCTGTACTACACTACAGCTGCTGAGAGTCCTGACAGTCATGTGACCTTCACCTCCTGTCAGAATGAGAGAATGCACATGAACATCAATGTCAGAATCACACAGAGCATCACTGCAGTGGCTCGTACAGTTTATTTGTGAATGCATCATTCATCACGTTTATGCATGCAGCCAGTGTGCAATAAAAAATGTTTCAGACTGCAGTGCATGTTTAATTCAGCAACTGCCATGCAGTTATCATCTCACAAATATCATCAATTTGCATTTTTATTATATATATATATATATATATATATATACACGACACATGCTGCACTCTCGACACACACACATACTCAAACACACACGCACATTAAATGAAATCTAAAGAAAAGTGTAATTTTCACCGGTTTTATCCTCCTTCAGGTGAAAATCACAACACATAAACAGAAATTATCTGAATAATGACTCTACTGTCTCTTGTAGAGCTGTTTTACAGCTGAAATTGAGTTTGATACATATTTATGAATTTTACAACATTAACACTGTTATTTTCCTTTTTATTACTGTGAAGCTGCTTTGAAACAAACAATGAGATTGTTACTGTCGCAGAATAAAAAATAAAACTTTTTATCTCACAATTCTGTCTTTTTTTCTCGCAATTCTTGAGATATAAACTCAGAATACAGGGGGCAAATCAGAATTGTGAGAAATAAAGGCAAAATTGTGAGATAAAAAGTTGCAATTACCCCTTTTTTTTATTATTATTCCATGGTGGAAATGAAACAATATAAAACAAAACAAAAACAGAATTGTGAGATGTAATTAATAATTAGTTTATATATCCCAATTTAGAATTTTGAGAAAAAAAGTTTAAATTGTGAGACAAAACGTTGTAATTATGAACTTATTTATTAACATAATTATTAATATTTTTATCCCATGGTGAAAACAAGCTTCCATAATAATCCGTATAAAGCGTTATAGAAATAAACGTGACTTAACTGACCCATGAATCCGGACCAGATAAACCACAGACTCAAACCAGAACTCACTGCTGGTTTACTGCTAGTTATTTCACAGGATTGCGCCTCATTTATTCTCCATAAGAATGAAACAGAATCTGGTTTAAAGTAAATCTGCTGAGCTCTTGTCATAATCTCTAGGGATGAATCTAAACAGAAAATTATTTAATTCCTCATTTAGCGGCTTTACAGCTGTTACATCTGTTTATAAATGAGATACAAACTCGCAATTTCTGACTTTATATCTCACAGTTCTCAAAAAGTCTGAATTGTGAAATTAAAAAAGTCACAATTACCTTTTTTATTTATTTATTTTTATTCCATGGCAGAAATGGTCTTTCACATTAACACACTGGAATCTGCAAAGAAAGCAGGTCAAATGAATGATAGACTGATTCACCAGTGATGTCTGAGCACCTGCTTTCTGCTGTGGATTAAATCATGGGATAGCAGGAATTACCCTGTCAGTTCCACACAGATGTGCATCTGCAGCATCAAACACACACACACACACACACACACTCACTCACTCTCACACACACTCACACTCTCTCACACACTCACAC